AGGGTAAGAACCAATAGCTACTCCAAAAGTTAAAGGCTAGAGAAGTGTTTCTCAAACTTTTTCATACCAAGGACTACTTAACCAATAAAAAAACACTCGCGGACCACCTAACTCCACAAATATAAAAAAATACATCGTTTTTCTAGAACAGATTACAAATCGCCTGAAAATGGTACAAACAAGTGGCAACATGTGTGATGAAGGTGTTGCGCTGGGCTATATCATGCAACCGAAAGTGAAACTTAACCTCGCTCCATTGCGGAGATATTCCCACGAGAGTGCGGAAAACTTAAATTTATTTATTTATTTCAAATAAGAAATGTTACCAATATACTCACGGACCACCAGTGGTCCGCGGACCACAATTTGAGAAGCACTGATCTAGCCCAAATACATTTGCATTTAGTGTGTAAGCAGTTGTAACAAAAGGTGAGAGTCAGTTTGAAAACAGAAACATTAGAAGCACCTTCAATATTTGCTTCTAAATTAAACTTAAAGGGATGCTAAAATTGTAACAATGTTGTTTTATTAACTTCACCTTAAGGTTTTTGTCGTATCTATTTTCAGATCAATTCATCATCATAACACTGCATGAAGTCTAGATGTCATCAACAACAAATAAAGGAATGAATATTAGATGGCGAAGTGTCTTAAAAGCAGCCTTGGTGCTTGGGAAGAGGCCTAGGGGAAACTACTTTTCTGAGGCCTTTCAGTGCATTCTTTAAATTATAAATAACAACAACAACAACAAAGCGAGTGAAATTCCCCCACCTCTATAACGTGCTTCTTGCTGGATTTGTCCTTGGAGGCCCACTCCACCGAGCCCCCCCTCAGGTCCACAGTGAACTCTGGCGTAGACTGACCGCCTCCGAACTGAACAGAGAGGACACAAAGGAAGGAGATTCAAACACAACACAGTTAATATAAACTTTAGTGATGTGACGCTCGCGAGCGATCCGATTCTTTTGAACGGCTCTTTGGTACCAACGAAGGGAACCGAGTCGTACTTGGTGAGAGCCGTTCTTTTTATCGTTGGTTCACGGCCTGCCATAAATCCACTCGCCTTTAAAGCAACTTGCTTTCCTGAATGCACATTAGCCGTAGATGATGACATAACGCTGCTTGATTAGTAGTTTGGCTGAGAGATGTAGCAAGTTACACATTTTTTCTGTGAGTAAAAGTAGATTTCTGGCAGTCATCATTATCCTGGTGATTATTTCGCAGATAAACCTATTAGCCCCGCCCCCTTCAAAAAAACGGCACTGGAAAGGAACGGAGCCATAAGATCCGACTCCCCTTCAAAGAGCCCTAATTCCCATCACTAATAAACATCTTCAGAGAGGAGAGAACAATATTCTGCTTTGATAGTGAAGAACACACAATTAGATTTAAAGGTTGATTCCTAACTGATCAACTTTTAGGTCAAAACAAGAGAGGTTCCTTGCAGTAACTCTGTTGAGCAGTCATGGTGATATGATAGTGATATAATACTACAGTAACAAATATGTATTGTGTATCGTAATGTTATTGTTTTGGTATTTGTCCTTGTTGATGTTGCTGCGATACAAAAAACCTTTCTGACTTGATCTGACAAATCGTATCCTTGCATGTCGTCCTTTCATAAGCCTCACTTTTGTTGGTCGCCGTGTGCCTATTTCTCTAGAAAGGATCCGTGTTGTAGATGTAAGAGCTTGCTGTCACTCACCCAGCTGGTCCCGCCTCCTTGGTTTTTGGTGAACAGCAGCGAGGATCCTTGCAGCACCGTCCAGGAGGAAGTCCAGTTCTTCCTGCAACACAGAGTTCAGAAACACTTAAAAACTAATACTATAAAGCATATGAAATCTGCAGAGAGCTTCTCTCTATTCAGCAGAGTGCAGTATCAAGCCTAAGTGATGATGATGTCATGGGTCCGGGTGTTAATGATGTCGAGTACCAAAGTATTGGTCAGCTTGTTTCTCTTATTTTGAACTATTAAACGTAATAATAAAAACAAGACATTTTAGCCTAAAGAGTTGTTTTTGAATATAAACAAAAGTTATGTTTGTATTCATGCTTTCACACATCACTGTGCTCAAACTAATCATGGATTACATCTTTGACTGCAATTGTAATTCTTCTTCCTCTTCCTTGCATTGGTTTCTCATTTGTTTCCATACTAACTCACTATCAGGAGGAAAGCATTAAAAGCGAGCTGCAGTATTGAGTTGCGCGCTTGTGTGCAGGGATACACTTACAAATACTCCATAGGACTCGAGTATAAGTTCATATCCTCACAGGCTTCCTTTAAAACTCTTTGTTATGCAGCATTGAGTCCAAACTGGTGAAGTTTCAGTCCGGGAGACTCACCGTACTTTCTTGCCGTGCTCGGTGATCTTTGTCACATTCAGAACGCCGCACTTTTCAGAGGGCTGCAGAGAAGACAAAACATGAAGACACACATACACATCAGAGAAGCTGGTGCCAAAAACAAATGTTGGGAGACAATGAGAGGGTCATTGTAAAACACCATCAGCACCACCACACAAAAGACCCGCCACCGCTTTCAGCCTGAAGGAAAAACATGATTCCACCTCCAAAGAAACCCGTGATTCAACACTGAGAAGTGCACAGAGAAATCAGATTAAAGGATTATTCGCTGAACAGCATATCTTTTAGTTCCAGATGTCACCAAAGAGGACGAGTATTTGAGAAACACAAGTGATCACACACCCAGAAACAAACCAAGCAATTCCTCCATGTTACCCATCAGCACCGCAACCAAGGAATATTTTCATGATCTCCAGATTACTTTCTAGATGAGGCGATTAATCAATTGGTTTATAAAATGCCAGAACATTTAAGAATTGTATTTTCTTCAGTTTAAAAACCACAAAATGTTCACTTTACACTTTATAACATGAGGAAAATTTCCATATTTGAGGCTCTGAAAACGGCATTTGCTCCCGTTTTGCATGAAAGTGAAGATTTTTAGGTTCAGGTAAGTGTTGGCGATTATCTTCCTGGTGATTGACTACCGTAATTTTCGGACTATAAGGCGCACCTGAATATAAGCCGCAGCAGCTAAATTGAATGATGTGTACATATATAAGCCGCACTGGACTATAAGCCGCAGGTGTTTTAATGTTTAATTACCATATGTAAGGGTTCACAGAGGGGATTGTCGGGAAAGAGATGGCTGTTTGAGGAAGCTCCCATTTATTAACATTTCAACAAACAAGTTGCATATTTGCATAACGTATTCAAGTGTTACCATTTAGTGCAATAGTAGCTACAGAACATGTGCTGTGTAAACTGTACTGTATCACATAGCGTTTCAGACACACAAACTTTTCAACTTTCAAACTTAAACGGTGCGCTCCCAGCGCACGTACCGGCAGTGATCTACAGCAGTGGTTTTCAACCAGTGGTACGGGGACAAACTGTCTCGCTCTAATGTCTGTCTGTCTTGCTCTCGTTCTGTCTCTCGTACCACTCTCGGTTCCACTTTTACTTTTGCGCGCTACCTGTCTCACTCTTTTCCGGCCTCCAGCTTTTCCTGCTGGAGCCCGCCGCTTAAAGGTGCGGGTCCGCGGACCGGCCATAGACCCCATAGAGTTAAAGGTGGTGGACTGTAACCTGTACAAATCCATAGATTTAGGAGGCCCCCTATTGGCCGTTAGCTGTAAAAATCCATAGATTAGCCGCACCGTTAAATAAGCCGCAGCGTCGAAAAAAGGCGCGGCTTATAGTCCGAAAATTACGGTACATGTTTCCACCAACAGTATAGGATATGGATTATGGATGAAGATACATTTTACAGTTGAGTTTTTTCCGACTCAAGATATTCAGTCGTATTTATTTCCATGCCTC